TTCTTCAAGTGTTGGTTTGTGGAGATTTAGTTGACTGGTTACAGGATTTCATCATGAGCTGACATTAGTTAGAGAACCATTGGAAAACCTGCAGGGAGTACTGGATAGCTATTTCGTCAACCCTGTTTGGAACTCTTCAGCAGTACGCACCCACCGGGATTCGAATCCAGGACCTTCTGGTCACAAGGCGAGGGAGAGAGTTGCGCCACAGGAGGATCCTGCATGCCGGTCTCGTCTCGCAAGAGGCAGGGATGGGTGTGTTTGGTTCTCCTGAAAACCAGTACCTAGTCAATGGGTGCATCACTGTGTCCAGTGGCTTAATGGTCTTGTCACCAGAGGGTCCTGGGTTCGAATCCCGGTGGGTGTGTACTGCTGAAGAGTCCCAAACAGGGTTGACGAAACAGCTGTCCAGTACTCCCTGCAGGTTTTCCAATGGTTCTCTAACTAATGTCAGCTCATGATGAAGTCCTGTAACGAATAAAGGTTTTGTTGTATTTTATCTCCTTCTTTTTTTTAAAATGTTTAGATGAGGGTATTCAGCGATAATGGACACTGTCCAGGAGTCGTAACTTACTCCAGAACAAATGTCTACTGTTAGTCGTTAGTTTTCAGTGAGTCTTGTCGAGTTTGAATATAGATACTCATCGATGACACTGGATTAGCATGGTTGTACGTTTATGAAACTCGGCTACGTAGACTACTACATTCTAAACAAGTGGATAACGCCTTGGAGTTTGTAGTGATAAAGTTGCGTAGTTCAAGCCTTGGCGAGGACACCATCACTCACTAGAGATGCAAGTAGATCTAGTTGATAAGTGTAAAACAAGACGAAACTCATCTTCTATTGATTTCCGATACCAGCCAATATCAGATAAATGATAATGGGATTTTTTTAATATCGACTTTATGGTTAACGGAGATCAATAAGGGGAATAATTTTCTAAAGGATAGACAACTGAGGACTAAAGAATATCCATTTCACCATATTTTGAAAAATTGCATGTATTGTACGTAGCCTAAAGATTCAGGGTCTTTTTATTCAAAAAGTTCTGTATCGTTAAAATGTTTTATCTCTTTTTAATATGTACACATATCAATCAATATAATATTTTCGAACACTCCAAAAACCTGTTTTGGCCGAGTAACAATGAAGAATATATATTCCTATGGCTACAATCTTCTGACAGATACTTTTAAGATTCTCACACCAGTTAATCAATACTACTACAAATGAGTATCAGTTACAAGACCATTAAAATTCAAACTGAATACACGCCAACGAACTGCACTGTTAACCTCAGAAAAGACACAGAGAAAAAAGTCAACTATTTTTACTCCATTGCTTAAAGCTACAGTTTTAAACTTTCAGCAAAGATGTTGGTTTTTCATGGTATGAGACTGCTAGCCAAATGCCTAACCTTCTGTCTTTACTGGATGTGCCACCGGCTAAGTGAGGTTTAGGGACGCGTCAACAGAGGGCCGAACTATAGTTGGCCAGTATTTTACGACTGAACCAGCAACTTGCAAGCCAGATCGTCGACGGGAAGTCGAACTTGGGCCTTCCATGTGACAGGCAGAGATACTCACCCCTATACAACTGAAGAGTCAACTACCCAGAAGTAAATACTCAGTATCCAGTTGCATCAGGTTAAATTAGACAGAGTGGAATTCGAATACAGAACTCGGTGACTGAAAGTCGAGTGGTTAAGCCAAGTGATGAATACTTTCCTATATTTGATCAGTAGGTTGAAAATCAATAATTATCTTTGATCCTTAGAAATTGAATAATTGAGCAAAATATACTATTGCAAAACTGCTAGTTTCTTATAACAAACATCATCCTTCATCCGTTTAGTGATGCACACACACACATGTCCCCTAATGTTTTTATATATTTAATGAAATACAGGTTCTTGTCATCTTTTAGCATTGTCCAGTTATTATTCTTAATGAAGTTGCGTGACATAAAAAGTTTTCAAAAAATAATCCGACTTATCATAATGAATTATATAGACATTTTTCATGTGTGTCTAAGTCCCCCGCCCCCTCCGCAACTTTCCTATCTGCATTTATTACATAACTGACATCACAAGACAAGCATTACATATGCATAAAACTATTTACTGATTTACATTTACGCTTAGCAACTAGATCTTTCAGAGATTATCATCTCATTTATCAGTTTATAGGAGGGGAAGAAAAGGTAGACAAAATATTCTCCAGTTAACATCAGGATGAGATATTTTTGTATTTTGTCAGCCTACTTAGATGATATGATTATTAGACGATGATGGAAATGACGATGGTGATGAGGTTTCAGAGATCACCTGTTACTATGACCATCTCTCTCCTTCTTACATTATCCCAGTTGTTAGTGTATAACGCTGAAATAAACCATTCATACAGCTCTTAGCTTCTTATTTCATGACAATACAGATTAGATTACAGTCGAATTCTTAATCTAACTGTCATTGTTACCGTCTTGTCTCCATATTATTATTACTATACTATTATTTAACATGTGTCAGTATATAAATCTATGCATACTGTTTGATCTATTGTATACATTGTTTAGTCTTTCTATTTCCCTCCCCCCTATTTCATTGATCCCAAGTGGTTTCTTTTTCTAAAACCATTTTATCTATATGATCAGAATGTAATATCTGTTTAATAATAATAATAATAATTTTTCCTTCACGTTCCCCAGTGGAACATAGGGCTTCAAGCCAGTGGCTCGAAGTTTCTGTAGCAGTGTTTATTTTTATAGGATGGGGTTGCTAGCCTCATGCCCGACCTTTCCTCTTTAGCAGTCTCATTATGAGTTTAGCGAGGTAAAGGAGTGCGTCGGCCGGGAATCGAACCCCGGACTATGAGCATGGTCGGCGGGCGTCCTAACCGCTGTGCCACTGACGCACCAAACTATCTGTTTAATTAATTAAAATTCTACTGTCCAAATCAGATTCTTCTGCGTGCCAGGTTATGCGTCACATTTATTGTGTCTCCTAGGGTGAATTAGGCCTGGTTGAATTCGAATCCGGAACCTATTCACTGAAACATGAACGGATTCAGTCAATGAGTCAGCGCTGTACAATATTATTAACAGTATTTAAATCAGATCTTCATACGGCATTGTGGGCATCGGTGGTTCACTGGTAAAGTGATGGCCAAACATTCACGTGGTCGGATGTTCGAGTTCCAACTGGCGCACACATTTACCTCCCTCAGGCAGATATAATCCCAACCAATAAGAAAGGTTGGACGTGAGGCTGCTAGCAACCTCACCTCGTAAAAGACAAAAACACCACTGCTGCTGAAACATCAGAGCTCAAGCTTGACGCCCTACTTACCACTTGGAAAGCAAAAAATACAATAAATAATCATAAATTCATATGGTATCAGTCAGGTTGGCAGGTATACTGGTATAAACGCTCGTAAGTAATTAATTAGTTAGTTAGAAAAATGAATGAGGTTAGTTTGTCATTTATTTTACTAATCAAGAAGTCATGTTCAGTCTATTCAGTTTCGTACTTGCTGTATTCATCATAAGGGAAGAGAATTTCAACTCACTTAAAAGGATTGGACACAAGGACCAATAATCGATAAGGTTAATCTGATCTGATCTCTTATATTGGTCGACATTTATCAGATATAAGGTGTGATCACTAACCTTGCTGTACATCTCAGGATATTATCACCTTATATTGTCATCTGGTGATTGGCATTTGTAATCTTTAGAAGTCTTACATAATTTCATATTTTCCTTTGTTTTTATGTACATCCTAATCACAACTCACTCATTAAATTATTCATCTTATTACATAAATATATTACGCTTATTCAACTTCTTTTATGCGTGGGTGGCACAGCGGTAGAATGTTCGCCAACCACGCAAGTGGTTCGGGGTTCAATCCCCGGCCATTGAACGCACTTCTTTACGCCGTTAAGCCAATAATAAGACTGGTAAAGAGAAGAGGTTGGGAATGAGGCTAGCGACCCCATCCCTTAAAAATGAATACCACTGCCATCGAAACCTCAAAGCTCTATCCTGAAGATCTATGTTCTACACTGGGAACATGAAGGAATACAAAAATAGGTGATTGGCTTAGTATATATTAGTTGAAATTTAGAAACGATTTTGTCAGTGACATTATCCTAGTTATCCATGGATTGACTGTGTACTAATGGAAATTAAAGGCCTCCATTCCTTCTAATTTATTTTTCATTACAGCTGGAAACAGTAAATATTATTAGGTGTCTAATACAATTATGTAAAGTGGACAGTATGTTTCACTTATTTATAGGATATCAATGCACTTTCAATGGAATGACGACCTAGTTAGTAGTTGTGTTTTCTATCTAAAATGGTTGTAGGGATGCAGGTCACTCATTTGTAAGCCACTGGACTTAGTGATAAATGCTCAGATACCTAATTCCAGCATTCGGTAATTCATAATTCAAATTGAACAACAACAGAGAACCCACTCTAAGTCATATATTTTGCACCGTATTTCTAGCTGTAAATAATTTTTATTTTAATATTTCATTTCAGGTATATGGAGATTCGAAGCCGCGTTATCCAGTAATGCAATTAAAGTAGTTACTATTGTGCTATCAGGTTTCATAGTTGACGCTCTCTCTATATGATAGTATTGGTCACAGTGATTGGTTACTGTCACCAAGCACCGATGCTGGAGACTAAACATTGACATCGGTCATATCGTTGTGATGACAGTATCAACAGTACTGACTGACTGACTGACTGATCTGAGTAGTTGGATGCTACTCACACGAACCAGTAGTGCTTAATAGCCAGATCATAAAAGTGATCTAAACACTGGGCAATCGTTTCAATCGTTTGAGACATACCTCATCATCGGTTTGACTCACCTCCCAGGATCTCCCTCAATTCTAAATAATACTGCCATTTAACGAGTTGTTTATTCAATTCACATTTAGACTTTTTTTACTTTCAAAAATACGCTTATTTATTATTCACTTACCTAAAATAATCTTCTCTACAATATGCTTTACAATCACGTACAAAACATGTAGAATCATTCATCAGTGATCGTAAACATTTTGAACAATTTAAACAACGTATATGCCATTTTAAATTTGGTTGAACATTTAATATAAATGGATCATTGATGAGAAAACCACAACCAACACATTGTGATAATGGCGATGAAGCAGACTTTAATAATACCGAAGTTGATGTTGACGATGATACTGGTGATGCAAAGTCTACTGATCCTGTTGTTCCCACACCTAGCACTGGTACTGAAGAGGAGGATGATGATGATGATGAGGAGGAGGAGGATAGGGATGTCAGTGATGTTGACATTGAAGACAATAATTGTGGATGCATCGTATTCATTTCATTTGATCTGGTAATTGTTGAATTTATTGTATCATCTAATTCTATGTATTGCTTCATATCTGATTTAAAGTTTATCCTACCTAAAATAAAGCAAATGCAAAAAATGAATATTAAATATTCCCATAGTAAAATTTAGAACAACACATTTAAGCGAACAATATTTTGTGTTTTCAATTAGATCTCATCAGGCTTAACTTTAATGTATATAAGTTTACAAATAAAAATTCAAATATAAACCAATCATGGTGTTTTGTCTATAGGATAATACGATGGTGAATATAAATTATGCAATTAGTCATAATAGTAATAATGATAATAATAATAATGGTCTTATCAATAATAAGGATGAAAACGTGAGGCAATCTGTGATAACACGAATAATGAAAAACAGCATGATTAAACAAACAAATGTTCAGGTGGAAGTAGTCGATAAAGGCTAGTAAAAGCAAATGAACCGATTAAGTAATGTTAGACTGTAAGAGAAGGAAATGAAACACGGTTATAATGAAGATAAGATTAAGGGATGATAAGAGAGGGAGGGGTTGAAAATATAAACAAGGGGTGGTGTAGAAGTCTTTACTTGGTTATGTCTTAATAGGCCAAGCAAGGGAGGAATAATGGCTGTACGAACTTTTTTGAATGCATAGTTTAGGTTTAATAGTTCGAATGCCTATCGCCTCAGCTGTGTGGGTGCAGCAGACGAATGCGAAGTCTATTGGAAAGATTCTGTGGGATGCGATGAATTACTTTGAAGGCTCTTGTTTTCTCGATTACTATTATTATTATTATCATTATTACTATTATGACTAATTGCATAATTTATACTCACCATCGTATTATCCTATAGACAAAACACCATGATTGGTTTATATTTGAATTTTTATTTGTAAACTTATATATATTAGAGTTCAGCCTGATGACATCGAATTGAAAACACAAAATATTGTTCGCTTAAATGTGTTGTTCAAAAAATGAATCTGTAGGGTGAAACCCTTTTTCTAGAAAAAAAAGTTTTTTCAAATAATACAAACATAAGAATCAATAAGAATTCCGATCACTTCAATCCACCAATATTTTATAGATTACACATAACTATGCATACACTTTAAATATCTCATCAACTGTCTAGTTACTTCTTTTCATCATAGACACTAAGATATTTTGTTAGAAAGGAAGAATGTAAGTGAGTTGTAGATTTTCAAGAGTTAGAAGATTTTTTGATCAAAATATCGAGTTGGTGACTCATAATAACAGATTTCACCTTCACCGAAGTTTACCAGTGTCTGAATGATCTACGAGCTCACCTTTTGATCGCAGGGTCCTGGGTTAAAACCCCAGCGAGTGCCTGCTGTTGAAGAGTCTCAAGTGAGCTCGAAATAGCTCTCCAGTATTCCTTGGTTTTTGGTGAATCAGTGATTCAGTGTGGTACAATATTCACCAGCCATGTACGTGGTCCGGAGACTGAACTCCAGACAAAGCACTCCTAAACTTTGTCTATCCGACAATAGGTTCGGTAAAGAAGGAAGGTCGGGGAGAGGGGGGCTGTGACACTAGCAACTCTACCCTGTAAAGAAGAATGACATCGTTGTTATTGACATTTCGAAGCTCAAACTTTCAAGCCGTATGTCCCACTTGGAGCACAAAGTAAAGTAAAGTAAAATAAGTAATAAATAGACCCCAGAAAGAGGGAGTAGTGTTATCATGAATAGAAGAACATTCAATATCTTTTGTTTAAGCCGTAGTCTTTGTATCTTGTAGAAAAGAAGAACACTATTCGGATAACTTCAGTTTGTCTAGTTCGAAATCCCTCCACACCTATCCCAACCTTGGGAACTGGGTAGTATCATTGGTCTTATAAAACAAATGTAGATCGTAGTATGACTAAGTTTTTTGGGTCTAAAAAAGATTGAACTGAGTCCAAGGTAGGCTTAAACAAAAAGTATGACATAAACTTTACCACACTTAATTTCCTATTCCTCAACAACAAAAATCAATGATACTAACAGGAAGTGAGTGAGTTAATTAATAATTGTCAACCCTTGTAAGTAGTAACACATTACACTTCCAATGCTATGTCAGAACTCATTTGAAGCTTATGCCAACTGCTTAGAATTAATTTACATAGTTATCTTAATTATTATCAATGTTTCAATAAACTTTTTTGTTTGTTTTAATCCGCTAACTTGATTTAAATTTACTTGTGATTTAAGTTTGTTATAACCTAACATAGATAGATAAATACGACAATTTCTTCCGTTTTGCTCTTCTTTTTTTTAATTTCGCGTATTCACCTCGTGTTGTTAACATCTCTGTTTGTGTATATTTTAAACAGAAATCTATTTAGCCTCAGGGTTTCGACTGTTTCTTCTTTCTATGAAACTTTCTATTAGAAAAGAGAAAACGATTTATATTCAATGCTAAATTCATTTTACCCCACATTTCCTTTTCCCTTCACATCGTACTTGGTGTTTGCGTGTGTGTGTGTGTGTTTGTCCATGCTTGATGTTGATGTAACCACAAAAACGAAATCAGAAAACGTACCAGATAAAAAAAACAGAATTTGTTTGATTTTCAGAAAATTTATGGACATCTAATAACGGAAATTTATTTATTTCCAAAAGTCAAATCTCTCTCTCTTTTTTTTATAGCGCCAATATTTCATTCCATTCTTGTGGTCTCTGTATACATTCAAACTTAACTTAGATAGAAGAAATTATGTCAACTTTTGAAAGTTTCTTTTTATTTTGTCCTATTTTCTTCCGTTCATCAATTCAAAGTTAAGGAAAAAATTGTATACAAATCAGCCAGTCATGCTGTGATTGTTTCCTTTTTCCGGTCAATTAAATCACCATTATCATCATCAATACCATTAATTACAATACCTGTCTGTACATCTAATGCCTGTCTGCTCATTGATAATATTGATAGACTTGCAGGTGTAGTGGGACACACACACACACACACGTACACACAAACATTTACACGTGAAACAGATAGGCACACCAACGCCTACGCAATTTAATTTCAGTATTGTTGTTATACATTTTATGATGAAAACCGATTGAAATAATAAATGTTATTGCATATTGTATCCATTGATTCACATCATCATCATCATCACCATCATCATCATAACTCTTCACCGTTGTCTTTTGGGTTATCACTTTACAAACTGAATAACCATCGAGTAATTCTCTTTGTCTATCCCAACACATCCGCCATTTCCAGTTCTTCGCCATCACATACACTCGCACACGCACACACACACACACATACACAACACGGTCGAAACGACAATAGAAGAGAAAGAATAAAGTAGAACTTTTATTTTATTTGGGAAATTCACTTCCTGTGAATTTCTATCTCTCTTTGTGATGTAATTTCTTGTTTCTTAGCTCAATGAATGAAATGGCTGTAGAAAGCTGTGATTTGCTTATCAGTTATTAGAAGTCGAATGAGAGACAGACAGTGGAAACAAGTTTCATTATAAAACGAAAACATACACAAAAGTATACAGAGCATAGTGTACACCAGTACACGTCTACAGATTAAAACAAATACTCAGAATGATATTGTAATAAAATAATTTTTGGTTATTCATTATAGTTTAAAATGCTTAAAATTTAACTAATATAAATTAACCCTCAATTTATTATATTCTATTCTCCAACCCCAATCCGTTAAAAATGCACATAACATTGCGTGGGCGGACGACTTGTAGGTGTGTAGATGGTTATCTCGATAAAAAAAGTATCATCATTTTAATTCTTTTTATACTGAGTATCTTTAACGAAAGGTACTTTAAAGGTATACTGCAATATTCTTAAATAAATCAAGATTATAATAAAGTTGTGTGTCTGGCCTTCAGCAAATTCCTTCACTACCTGAACAGTTTTATGTTATGATCACTATTTTGACTGATAGTAGATGACATTAGTGTGCGCTTGGGTGGTACAGCGGTTACGACGCTCGCCGACCATGCAAATCGTCCGGGGTTCGATCCCCGGTCACCCACGCACTCCTTTACCTCGCCTAACCAGAAATAATGCTGGTAAAGAGGAAAGGTTGGTCATGAGGCTAGCAACCTTATCCTGTAAAATGAAACACTGCTACAGAAACTTCTAGTCACTAGCTTGAAGGTGCCCTATGTTCCACTGGGAACGTGAATGAAAAAAAGATGATATTAGTGGAATCCACGATGCGCATTTCATCCTATTTGGAACTCACCATAGGATATACTTGAGTCCCCAATGACTAACAGTTTTCCCAATGGGATTCAAACCCTACAGTCATCGTCTCAAACGCGAAAGTGTTATTCACTAGGCTACTTAAACCTAACAGAATGAAAAGCGCATTTTTTTAGATTTCATTGCTAGTCATCATCAACCACCACAAATAACATCGTGTTAATCTTCAGACATCGTCAAGTTGTCCGTGCTGACCGTTGAGATAACAACAGAGACTGAGGATTTTGTCTTAAAATGATTTAATCAGTAGGAAACCCAAGTGAATTTGAATAGTCTTATGTTAAATCCCTGATCACTGAGTCAGGTTAGTTTATTTATCCCACAGTTATTGAAATATTATATTATTTAGAAAAGATACATCAAGATTTATACAGTAAGTTTGAATGATGAGTACACCTAAATCTGAAGTTGTGTATTTCCATTAATATTCTCTTGAATATTATCGATTTGTATTTAATTGATGAATTCAGCTTGAAATAGCCGGTTATAGGTACATATATAACCTGTCATTGTCTTATCTAGTCTATTCATGGACACTGTCATTCTTTTAGAATAGTCAATCACACACACTAAATAACTATGCTAATTACTTATTTAATGAATTCAAGTTGTCACTTTTATTATTTATTAACAATAAATACCTTCTTCTATTAGTTCCCTTTATTTTTTCTGGTTTCATTACTGATTCAATTATCTCTGATTTGTATTCAATATATGTGTGTAGACATGAACGTGTGTGCTTGCATGCATGCATGCGCGCGTGTGTGTATGTGTGATCACAGATATGACAGATTTGGCATCTATAATGATCAGTTTCAACTAATGACCTAGTT